GCAAATCCGCATGGCACTGCACGAACGAAATTTCGCCCCACGGTCTGCCCACAGAAGCAAACATATCACATGATACCACCAATCATCCCGCTCACCAGCGGCACGCCGCGTTTACACCGCGCCACGCAAACGCACTTTCCACCAAGGCCACGCTGCGACATCACGAACGTAATTTCGGCGCACGGTCCGCCACACACTATAGAAGCACATATATCACACGATACCACCAATCATCCCGCTCACCAGCGACGCGCGACGTTTACAACAGCGTGTTTCGCCCTCCCCAGTGTCACGGCGCCACGCAAACGCACTTTCCACCAAGGCCGCGCAAATCCGCATGGCACTGCGTGTGACATCACGAACGTAATTTCGCCGCACGGTCTGCCACGCACTAGAAGCAAACATATATCACTTCACATGATATATACCGCCAATCATCCCGCTCACCAGCGACACGCCACGTTTACACCAGCATGCGTCGCCCTCCCCAGTGTCATGGCGCCACGCAAACGCAATTTCCACCAAGGCCGCGCAAATCCGCATGGCGCTGCGACATCACGAACGTAATTTCACCGCACGGTCTGCCACACACTAGAAGCAAACATATATCATATATCGCATGATACCGCCAATCATCCCGCTCACCAGCGACACGCTGCGTTTACACCAGCATGTTTCGCGCTCCCCAACAGGCGAGGCTTCGAGTCACGCTGCGAGTCTGCAAAACGAGTGCTTTGTACCAGACTTCCTCCAAAAGTCACGCTTCGAGTCTGCAAGACGAGCGTTTCGTACGAGACTTCCTCCAAAAGTCACACGTCAAGTCTCCAAAGCGAGCGTTTCGTACAAGACTTCCTCAAAAACTCACACGTCAAAGTCTGCAAAACGCGCGTTTCATACGAGACTTCCTCCAGAAGTCAAGCGGAAACACCCAGCGGAGCACACACATCACGCAGCCGTGCCGAGCAGTTTCGCGATTCCAGCCCCTCCAAACGACACCCGCTCACACGCCAATCCCAGTGTCACGGCGACGTTCACCTCTACCACAACTCACAACCTCACGATTCCCTGCGCCTGCCACGAATCTTGAAGGCTCATCGGAGGGTGTGTGGAGCCAAAGTTGCTTATACGAAGTGCATCAAAAATACCTTCTACGAAGGTCTACGAAGGTTTCTGGGATTTTGTTGCATCAGTTTTCCTATTGGCCCACCATTCCACGAAACGTCCACGACTAGCCCCGGGTTCCACGAATGTTCCGTGCCTTCCACGATGTTAGTAGAATAGGCTTTTGCAAAGCTCTTTCCGTTTGCCTCTGAAATCTTTCCACGTCGCGCACAAAGTACTGCACCTGCCACGAAATGTCACCTCCACCTCCGTCACACCCCGCAACTTCACGATTCCCTGCGCCTGCCACGAAAATCGTGCTTCCACACCTCAAAGCCCGCACAAGGTACTGCGTCTGCCACGTAAAGTGACAATATCATATCGTGTGAGCTTCAACAAAATTTGCACCACACCACATGTTTGGAGTGATTCCGGCCCGTTCCTGAGCACACTCCCATCCAACAAAATCGCCACTTCAGCTGAGGCTTGTCACGAAAACAGAGCTTCGATGCAACGCCCTGAAACGCACACCCCAATGGCACGGCCACATCCAACACCCCAAAAACACCACTCTCCAAACGCTAATTCCAATGGAGCTGTGCAGAAAACTGCGGATCTCACAAAACGCTGCGCCTGCGCAGTGAAATCATCCTCCACACTTCAACATCTTACATTCTTCCACGCGAATCTGACACGTCACGTTTCCATCCGAAACCCTCTCCAAAAGCTTCCCCCAATGGCAGCGCCTTAGCGCCCTACCGCGGACGGTTGCGGTCGGTTGCGAACGCTGAGACAACGCGTCCCAAACCCCCAGAGTTAAACGAGAACCCTTCGCTACGCATTCGGGAAAACGAGTCAAATTGAAAACTAAACAGCACGTTTAAAAAAAAGTTGAAAGAGCGAAAAAGTCAAAAAACATCAAAACAGTCGAATAAAAAAGTCGCAAACACGTTTAAACAAAAACATCAAAACTACAAAACAACTCGAAAAAGTCTAAAAAAACACATCAAATAAAGTCAACCACTCGAAAAAGTCAAAAAACAAGTTGAAAAAAGGCAAACATTGCAAAAACCAAACAAACACAGTCAAAAAAGTCGGATCTGGGCAAATTGACTGTTTTTTTGACTTTCTGACACTTTCTGATTAGACTTTTTTTAACTTTGACTTTTGAGACTGATTTTTTTACTTTAAAAGACACAGAAATTGAAAACGGGCTCTCTCCAATGACAGATCTTAATAACTCAAGGACGCATGTGCTTAGAAACACGAAGGATATTCTTTTGCAGAAGGAGGCAACGGTTATCCAACATGAATTCCTTCATCATGGAAAGATATGTGGACAATTGTGGACACCTATTTTTGGTGGATTGTCCCGGCGGGATATTTTTTTGCGCAGGGTCAACCTGTCCTAGAGGAAGTCTCGCTCATAAACATGCAGGAAGAGGTTCACACATGAAATTGCTTAGGAGAGATATGAAGGCGGCAATTGCCCACAGATGGCAGCATCTTCTTTGCAGGAGAACTTCATACAAGGTTGGGCTCCTGCAAAAGACACACATATATATATATATATATATCCGCCGACCCCTTGCGACTGCAAGGGGAGCGCGTGAGAGAAGGTACGAGTGCTCAGGGTGTGGAGGGTTCCTTCAAACCCGTCAAGCCCCTCAAATTCCCCAATCCCCCAAAAGCCTCGAAACTTGCCAGAAGGGGCTTGCTCGAGGCTGCTTCAAAATGTGTTTTTTTACGGGATCCAAGAGCGACGTTAGACATCGGGGCCTGCCCTTCAAACCCCTCAAATCCCTCAAACCCCTCGAAACTTGCCAGAAGGGGCTTGCTCGAGGCTGCTTCAAAATGTGTTTTTTTACGGGATCCAAGAGCGACGTTA